ATTTTTTTAGTTCAGGGACCAAATCGGGGGTCCGTACAATAGTTCAGGGACCAAAAAAGGGTTTTAACCTAATTTTTATTTATATTTGATGCAAAAAATATAGACTTTTGTATTAATTAGCGGGAAATGGGGATCCCCGTAGGAAACGGGGATCCCCGCAGGAAACAGGGATGGGGGGCAAAATTTGCTTCCCGTCAAAAATATCTGCGAGAATCTCCATCCCCGCCATTCGCAGGGACGAAGACGGAGAGGGACTCCCCGACCCCGCAGGGCCCGTTGACATCCTTACCTACTGATGGGTCAAAATCACTTTACTTTTAAAAGGAGTTGTTTAATTTATATTTTAAAAATAAAAAATATAAATAAAATAAATATATTTTTTATAATTAATTTTAAAAAATATAAAAATTAATATTTATTTTAATATTATTATCATGTAAATAATTTTAATTAATTAATTATTTTCTTTTTTTTTGAACAAGTTGTCAAGGGGCGGGCTTCCATGAGGGCGGGGAAATGCACCTCAAACTGGCAGGCACTACAAGAAAAATGGTTTTTAGTGACAGAAATTTGTGATGAATTTTGAAATTATCACTATAATTGATCACAATTATGACAGATCTAAAAAATTAGTCATAGATACATACATATTTAATGGTGAACAAAAAAATTCATCATAAAAAATATATTTCATCACCTAAAAATGTTCATAGAGATAAAATAAACTTTTGTCGATAAAAATCATCACTATAATGCATTACAATTATGAAAAAATTTTAATATTGATCACATATACCTTACACATTCATTCAATGATGACCAAATAATTCATCACTAAAAAACATATTTCGTCACTAAAAACTGTCAATTTTCTCTAATCAATACATCCCACATCGATAAAAAAACCCATAAGAGAATAAGGTTTTGCACTATAAATATATCACATATCGATAAGAAATATTTAAGAAAATAAATTTTTGCATAATAAAACATGTGAAACTCAATAAAACTTGAGATTAGTTTGGGCCTGATTAATTTTAATCAAAATTGATTAGTATTGAAATAATAATATTTTTTTA